CTTGGCATGGGAAACATCATGTTTTCACCTCCCATACCAGCTGTGTTGCGGGTCGGTGTAACCCCCGATGAAGTTGATTCATAATTTGCCATAGAATACTGCTGAAAACAGTCCAAATCCCACACAACTACACAACAGCCACAAGCAGAATACCAACCCTCAAGAAAACAAGAAACTGCTGAAATCATTTCTGTGATGGTTCAGTCATTAAACCAGTCCAGTAATCAGTCCAACACAGCCAAGGCAGATGTTACTATCAGTCCGACTACAGCCCATACAGTCTAACAATCCAACATCCAAATGAATGTATAGAACCAAGGAATAAGGCCTTCACACCATTGGCCAAAAAAAGACAGAAACAAGAACACACCTGTCCAGCACCTGTACGAAGGTGCCAACCAGAAATCGACTTCACAGCATCGAACAGAGAAGAGTCTCTATCAGCATTGCCCTTCTTCGACTAGGGTTTCCTTGATATTATGACCAAGGAAGAATCCACAGGAGGTGCCGCCAGTAATCTGCTAGGGTTTCTCTGTCTTCCACGTCCAAGAATTTAAAGAAGGGAAAAAAAGGCAAAGCAGGTTCAAAACAGGAGGGACCGAAATTCCTTTACAGCCCAAAAACCTGGCTCTGATACCATGTAATCATTCATGGAGAGTGGGAGACGAGAGAGAGAGAAAGAGAAGGAAAGGGAGATATGATTGAGAGAAAAAGAAAAAACTGTCTTTGGATTGCACACCTCCCTTCCACACACTCATCCCATAGGAAGTCCTCACCTCCCTTGATTCCCAGATGAATCTTACAACTCCATACTTCCCAACCACAACCCTCCTCCACAATGAGTTCTCTCCATAAACTAAATCTCCAAAGCCGTTTCCCCATGAAGGCCCTGTTAAAAATTCGCTCTCTCCTTATCCCCAAACCTCCCCAACCCTCCCCTCTCCTTTGGATTGCACACCTTGTTCCAGTCTCCCAGATCACTAAATGGTATTTCTTGCCCACGCCTCCCCCTCCCAAAGAAAATCCCTCTGAACCTTCTCGATTCTTTCAGCCACCTTAGGTGGTATTTTCAGCAAAGGTAGGTAATAGGTTGGAAGACTTGACAGGACACTTCTAACCTCCTTAGCTTTCCACCCATCTAACCTCCTTTCCTGAGGAAGACCTATGAACTATACTGTTTTTTCTTGATCAGCAACCATTTAGATCAACTTATTAATTGTAGAAAAGAATATTTTTGTTACATTGTACATAAGTTTGAAGTATGCCAAGAATACCCTGCTTAATGTAGGCTTGGCCCCAATCTACCTATTCCATTTCAATTTATTTTCCTTGCTATCACTCTCCCAGGAAACAAAGCCCCAATACAGAAAGACTATTTGCTAATCTCAACTCATCGACACTTGCTGTCATTTCCTCAGTCTCTGACCTCTCTCATATTGTTTCTATGCACCCATAAACCTTTTTGATAGTTTTTAATCCATCCCAGAACCAACTTCAAGTGCCCTGATTGAGTGATCTTTCTGTTTCTAACCCTTGTAGCATCATCAAAACCTTTTCTCTTGTGGAGTCCGCAACACCTATGGGGCTAGGGTAGAAGCTTGATATATGTCCATCACTGTCCCTAAATATTCCTCCAATACCAGAGATGCCAGGGTTACCTTGGCTGCATTCATCAAAATTCAGCTTGATGTGTTCATTCATAGGTGGCTCCACACCAAATAAGAGTGAGGTCTCACCAAAGAAGAGTTGGCAACAGCCTACCAGTGAGCAACTTATATTGAGATGTTCTCGGTAAAAGATTACTGCATATGAGTTTTATTGTTGAGTTAGAATATTTCTCTATGTTGTCAGTCATCGACCCTCTTTTTCTTCCCTTTTTGTCAAATGATATCTGTGTTATTCTAGGAAAGGTAACTGAAGGCCTTAGAGGATAAATCAACATATAGAAAGTAATGCCTTTAATTATGCTATCCCAACCAGGAGAAATCATTATTTGCCCCATCACATCTATGTGGGGGTTGGCAACATAAATCCTGTTACTCATTCCACTCAAAGGTCATAATTTCTTAAATAATGATTTTGTAGATTCCAAGATTTTTTTTTCTATTAAAAATTATATCCTATGTTTTCTGGATGCTATCATCTTTTTGGTTTAATTTTTGTTATGGATAATGCAGGAAGAAAGAACTTCAGCACTCTCACTGTCAAGCAAGATGGTTGAGTCCTTAAAGTTCCAGGCTGCTCAGGTAGTATAGTAGTTTTCCTTTTTGGTGGTGATTGGGTTTATTGGTAAACCAAGTTGTTGTATACTGGGCTGCATTTTATATTTCCACATTTTTTCTTGATTTTGCATCTACAGGCTCGTATCTTTGAAGGGAATGAACCAATTCAGTTCTTTTCAATTTTTCAGACCTTTATTGTGTTTAAGGTTTGTATAAATTTAACTTTCGGAAAGGAACTTTACATGGAACAAACATTTATGATCTTTCATTACATGTGATTGTATTATATTTATTTCATCAATAATGCTGATAACAATTTGTGTCAAATTTAAAGGGTGGCCGTAGTTCTGGGTATAAGAATTACATTGCAGAGAAAGAAATCACAAATGAAACATATAATGAGGATGGCCTTGCATTGTTCAGAGTTCAAGGTTCCGGACCTGAAAACATGCAAGCAATTCAAGTTGAACCGGTACATACTGACCAACTTTGGTTTGGCTCCTTATTTTTTATGTGATTGGTAAAAGTGAAATTTATTCATTAAGATTATTTTTTTTTTGAATGAATAATTTAACATGGCTCAAAGATTGGTCTTCTATGTGTTTATTCAGTTTGTGTTTCCATACTCTTGATTAAGAACTATGAACATAGTATGCAACTATGCATCTTATTTAGAAAGTAAGTTTCCTATGGTTTAAAAATCCATTTTATGTGTTTATACAGTAAATTTATTGTAATATGAACAACTACCTGATTATAATCTTGATAAGAATTACTCGAAGCAATTCCTTTAAAAAACAATTGTCTTTTGCAGTTTATGTTTGATCCTGTATGAGAACTTCATACATCATCATTTATTAAAGTTCAACTTAACCTCTAATTCATGATAATACACATAGCAGTTGTTTGACACTCCAAGTACTCTTATTTTTAGAAATATTTCATTGGTGGCTAAGATGTGGGCAAGTACATTAATTTACCTGAATCATTACTGTTGATTTGTTTTTCATCTTGAACTCTTTCCAATAGCAATCATTTTATACTTGGAATAAGTTCCACAACATTGATGCCCCATAGGGAGATGATTATTGATGAGTTGCTTAAAGGTTCTAATAGCATTTTATTCTATTGTTATCACCCCTTGGAGATTGGCACTCCAAGGGTTACTCCCCCTCAAACTGATGTGGGGACATCATCCAYTTGCCTACAAGATACTCATGGTGAGCTCAGCAAAGTTGATACTTAGAGGAGATGTGAGGAAGAGAGATCATTTCTGCAAGAAATTGGCCCCAGATGAAATAACATCAACCTCAATATGTTTGGTGTTCTCATGAAAAGCAGGGTTAGAGGTGATGTTCATGGTGCTTAAGTTGTCCACATAAAGAGGTGTGGTATGGGAGATAGATATACTTAATTCCTTGAAGGAAACCTCATAAAAAGCAATCTAACTTCAAGCAGTAGACAAAGCATGATGTTCAGCTCCAGCTGAAGATTTGAACATTATCAGTTGCTTATTGCAATTCCGAGAATGAGGGAGTCACCAAGAATTACACACCATTCAGTTGTGGAGCGATAAGTATCAGGACAGCCAAACTAATCAGCATCAGATTAGGTCCAAAGTTGATTGGTATGATGAGGGAAAAGATAAACCCCTCTAGATGGTGCCTTGAAGATAGCAAACGATCTAGTGAACTGTAGAGAGATGAAAATCACACCAAGAAGTGTCAAACTAATTCAAACTTTGGACAACATGAATCATGTTAGATGTATCATCGTAAGATGAGATTGCCAACAAGTTACCGGTACAAGGTGAGGTCTTGCAAAAGTTTTTTTTTTTGAAGATAAATAAAATTAAATTAAAACAGAAATAGGATACAAGAAAAAGGTGATAAGCAATCACTCGAATGAAAAAGATAAAACACCTAGAGAACAACCGACAAAACTCTTAAGACACCCAAAGATATAAAACCATCCCATCAAAACCAGACCCACAAAATCAAACCCCATAGAATGCGGAAAGAAACAAAGAGTATCGACTTGTTTTGTCTTGTTCAGATGAACAAGCTTAATTAGATACAAGGTATATTTTCTTTGGTCTACAAAATGTCCCAAGGTGAGAAGTGAATCTTTAACCTGGAGTATGTCAAGGGGACAAGATCCTTCATACAAAAGGAGATTTGGAACAATAATTTAAACTATTGAATACCCTCTATATCATCACTATTAATGAAGATGCCATCTACATAAAGCAAAAGAGTGGGGCTCTAAGAACAACTGTAAGCAAATCAGTGTTTTAAAAGCGCAAGGGCCAATTTGTGTCTGAGGCGCAAGGCGAGGCTCGTGCCTTCTTGAGAAAGGCACAAAATTACAAAAAAAAAACAGCTAAAAAATAAAAAAAAAGTCAGAAAATTCAAAAAAAGGTGCAAGGAGCGTCTTTTACTCTCAATCTCTCTAGACCTTTTCACCACCAAACCATCAGACGACACCTAACCATTGATGCTGGTGTCAATAGGTGAATTTGCTAATGTTGTTCATTCATTCATTGCAATAAAATATCTTCTTAAAAGGCAATGAATGTTATAAAATCTTTATTTTTTATGTGAGAAATAAGAATTTCAGACCCTAACATAGACATGTTCAGGCTTGCCTTGAGAGGCGTGGTCAGGGGTCCAGGGGCGGAGCCCCCGGCCCAGCCGTTAGACTAAAAAAAGCAAAAAGCGCAAAATTTTGAAAAGGCGCACTCCTGGGCTGAGGCGCAAGGTGCATCAGGTGCACGCCTAGGCGCACGCCCCATGCGCCTAGGACCTGGGCGAGGCGCATACCCCAAAATGTGCCTCGCCTGTGCGCCTAGGTACGCCTTTTAACTCACTGAAGCAAATAGGGATGAGTCATAAGCACTTTGTTTGTAACCAGCCTCCATAAAAACATTACAAAAGTCCTCAAACCAAGCATGTTTAAGCGCCCATAAAAAAATTTCTTGAGATGGCAGACTGTAGCTTGATCTATGTAGCAGCCAGGTGGAGGCTTCATAGAGACAAATTCTTTTAACTAGCCATGAAGGAAGGTTTTTGTGACATCCATTTGAAAATCTGACCACTAACAGAGAGGTAACAATACTAATAAAGCATGAATAGTATGAACAGTAATCATCTTGATAACAAGAGCAAACCTCTCCTAATAATCAAGGCCATACTCTTGCTTATATCCCTGGAAACTAATCTTGCCTTGTATAATTCAATACTTCTGTCAACCTTGAGCTTAAAAAGGGATTCACATTTGCTACTAATAGAGGAGACATACAGAGGAAGGCGAACCACACCCCAGACATCATTATCGATCAGGACATGCATCTCAATGTCCATGACATCCTTCTAACAAGAATGTTAGAAGGGACCATTTGATGGGTAGAATGTTTGCAGCATTAATAAATTTGCAATGGTTTGCCTTGCACATTTTTGACATCCACTTTTAGTCATACTTAATAACTTTCTTTGTTGCTTTTGTTGTTGTTTTTTGTCTTTTTTTTATTGTTGCCAACAGGGGTAGTTTGTCATCTTTCTTCAAGTTATACTTGTATTAGGATATTGAAAGGAGTATATAGCCAACACTGTTCCCATTCTTCCTCTATTCTTCTCATAACTTATACCGCTTATTCTCTTTTTGTTTTTCTCCTTTCTTTTTTAAATCAAATCAGATTGTTTATCATAAATGACAAGTTAATATCAGAGCAAGTTGGACTTGAGTTGTGCCCATGCACTGATAGGATCAACATACTGCATTGAGTATTTCATTGCCTGGTTGATTTAAGGAAAATAGTGCCTGATCTTGGATGATTTTTTTTGGATATAGATTAATTGTTTTCTTTTCACAAGGAAAATTCTTGGAGTTTTCATATGAAAATCAAAAAACTTCAGTGGTCATTGTTGTCTAGGAATGGTAAGATTGGCACTCAGGTTTTCCTAAACGTTTTCTGACAAAATCTAATGCGTGCTTTTGGTTTGGTGGAATTTTAGACTCTCCATTGTGAGTAGCATCTATCTTCTGGTTTCTAATAGTAGCACTGGTAGAGGTTTCTCCACTTGGAACAGTGTAGGGTTGATTCTGCCCTACGGTATTCTTCTTGTTGCAATCTCTCTTGTGGACAGCCATCTTAAACAAAATCGTCATGACTGAACACTGTTATCTAGAGGATTTGGCTATAGACAATCAGTGCCCTTTGTGTAATCAGGTGGCTGATTCTCAATCCATCTCTTGCTTGAGTTCCCCTTTTCGTTGAATATATGGTCTTACTTTCTGAAATTGTTTATTAGTATGCTGGGTGCTGCCATGTGACCTCCCAAATCTGATCACTTCTTGGAAACGTAATGCTTTTAATAAATGGAGTAAGATATTGTTGAAGCTTATTCCAATGCCCTTTGTTGGTCCATTTGGATGGAATGCAATAAAAGAATCTTTCAAAGGAAAAGTGAGGAGTGGGTGATAGGGAAGGTAGAAAGATGTATAATGCAATTGTTTAATATTCTCAAGGAATTTAGAGACCTCAAACAATCCTGATTCACAAATCAGTTGAACAAAATTCTCTTTGAATCTTTACTATTCAAAGGAAAATCTCTTTGAATCTGTTAAGAATATGTATTTGTCAAGGGGCATTATTCTCTTTCCTTCCTAGTTGTATTTGGGCGCCCATATAGGAGCACAATTGTAATTTTTCTTCTTTGATATAAAACGAACATTTGGGTGTGAACAGTCACACACCCTCTTCTCCCGTAACTCTCTTGTTCCTCCTCTTATCTTTCTCCCACACTCTTACAACTTGGTATCAGAGCAAGGAGGAATCTTGGAAGAGCCTTTTTTGTCAACTCCTGAACTCATGAAGACTTGGTGATGTCAGACTACTGTCGGATTATGTCAACAGTCTGTACAGGTACTGGCAACAAACTCTTAAAAGTGGTTCAGTTTGGTGTGCCCTGATTTTAGGGATTTTTTGGTATGGCTCTCATCTTCATTTGATGCTCCCATGATTTTTCTCGGATTTTACAATCAGAAATTACAAAAAAAATACTGGTTCGATGTTTGGATTTTTTCCCTGTATCTGGGGTTGGAACTTGCTTGAAACCTGTTGTCCTTGAGTCATTTGACTCTTCTAGAGGTATGGGAAGTTGTTCCACATTTTCTGAGCCCAAGGTATTTTTTTAGGAGATAAAGTCCTCATAAATTGCCGCCAATTCAGTTTTTGGTCTCGTATTGGTCTCCAACAAAGTGTTTTAGAGCTGTCAAGAAAGCAATCCAAACCAAATGGAATTGCCTAAGGAAGTACAAATTGTTTGCAAAATGCTCTTGACCTATGTTGATGTCTTTAGTGGTATGACAACCACAGTGAAACTTGATGGAACCAACTTCCTTGAGTGGTCTCAATTAGCTAAGCTTATTATTGGAGGTAGGGGTAAGCTAGGATTCATTAAGGAGGGGAAG